GTCAGTGAAGACCACAGTGTTCATCAAGCTAGTGTTAGCTTTGCAGCTTGTGCTAATGTTCCTGAGATAGCATTAGCAAGTAGCTGTGAGTTAGCTGCAGAAATGTGCTGATGTTTCCCAGACGGCACAGCGATGTGTTGACCTCAAACATTCGTGGGTGGTGGCCCACCTACACCTACAGTTACATAATAAAACTCAGCGTGTAGGCTGCTACAAACATGTGCTCAGTGTTAAAAAATGATCCCTGCATTCACAGTTCCACGTATGACGGGTTTCAGTACTTCTTATCACTGTGTCCTGGTTCTTCACTGCACCATCCAGCTACACCACTCATGATCTGCCAGCAGGTAAGCTACACCCACCCGGCAGAAAGCCACATTGGCACTACTTAACTGTCCGCTGTGAGGGTCATGCACAGAGAGGTGGAATGGAGGCAGAGCAGCACTACGACGGAGAAACACCTAGCCTACATTAGAGCTAACACCACCTGCACAACGCACTCAGCGTGACTTACTGACTACGTTTTCTGTAATGGCGACGTCAATGATAGACGCTGCTGTCTGGGTTGGTTCCTAACATTAGCTGATAAAGTTAGATCAGTCGGTCCGCAGACTCGGGACGAATCAGACGCTTTTACCATGTGACAAAGACAACACTGAGTCTGTTAGCACCAAGCTAACATGAGCCAGAGCGTCAGGTTGTCCACATAAAGCAGCAGTCACCTGGCAGCAGTTAGGCCTCGCTGGCACTGCTGTTCCTGTTCAGCTCTCTGATGCCCTGCAGGATCCTCTTCATGTGGCCCACCTTCGTCACGCCGAGGTCCTGCACACACCACAGGAGGTCAGTGAGGCCGGGCACTTCCACTCCACCATGCACCATCCACCCATCACCACCACCATCCATTGCATCACCACCATCCATCACATCTTCACCACCATCCACCCCATCACCAGCACCATCCATCACATCTTCACCATCCACCCATCCATCCCATCACCAGCACCATCCATTGCATCACCACCATCCATCACATCTTCACCACCATCCACCCATCCACCCCATCACCAGCACCATCCATCACATCTTCACCATCATCACATCTTCACCACCATCCACCCATCACCAGCACCATCCATTACATCACCACCATCCATCACATC